GAAAACACAACCAGACGAGCAGGGGGAAGAATCCCCAACCCCCAAAGATTCCAAATCCTTTTCTTTTTCAGTTTGTGTCTGGGATTCTTTTTTCTGATTGCAAAAGAAATACGTGCTTATTACTGAAAAGTCAAAAGTAAGCACGGCATAAACAACCACCATAATGATTCTGTCCACCCAGAGATAACCACTGCTCCCTCTGTTTTCCTTTCATTTATCTCTGTACCTCATCTTTCCTTTGTCAGTTGTTATTGAGCTCATCTGCAAGTAGCAGGGAATCCAGCCTTATCAGACCCCAGGCTCGTCTCTTGCCTTCTTTCACTCAGCCCGTCAGAAGGGAAGATCCAGGTTTTGTGGGCCCTCCAGTTTACAGGGTTTTGCAGAACTTCTTTAAAACAATGGAATACAAGGTTTAGGTATAAAAGTGAATACTTAGAATGAGACTAAGAAAAATAAATCACAGTCAAATTCAAATTTTAAGAACTGACAGATCGATAACCAATAAGGACCTACTGTATAACACAGGGAACTATACTCAATATCTTGTAATAACCTATAATGGAAAAGAATCTAAAAGAGAATAGATATATGTATAACTGAATCACTTTGCTGTACACCTGAAACTAACACAACATGGTAAATCAACTGTAGTTCAATTTTTTTTTTTTTTAAAGTAGGTAAAGGGAAAAAAAGAAAGAACTAACAGGTATCACAAACAGAAAAATAATATTTTATTAACTAGCTGCTTGCCACGTGCTTCATGGTTTTCTTTCCGGATATTTTTTGTTTTATACTCTTTGATTGCCTCTACATATGTTGCAACGAGTTTGTAATATTTTCTACAGAGAAAGAAAAGAAAATTAGTCCTTCCTGTAATGTATTTGATCAGCTTTGTTTCTTTTTTTTTTTTTTTTTGCGGTACACGGGCCTCTCACCGTTGTGGCCTCTCCCGTTGCGGAGCACAGGCTCCGGACGTGCAGGCTCAGCAGCCATGGCTCACGGGCCTAGCCGCCCCGCAGCATGTGGGATCTTCCTGGACCGGGGCTCGAACCCGTGTCCCCTGCATCAGCAGGCGGACTCTCAACCACTGCGCCATCAGGGAAGCCCCAGCTTTGTTTCTTATTATTGATAGATTTGAAAATTTTCTTTTGGCTTCACATTTAGTGTTATGGTGATGCTGTGTAAATGTTTAGGATTGTTGTTAAATTTGAGAAAACCATCCTCCAACTTCTTTCATAAAGAAACTGGAAGATTTGGGGGCATTTCAAGTTTTCCTGTGCACTGACTCTTCATAAATTCTCTGATGATGTGTGGAATTCCTAGAAGTCACTTCCACACCAGGACAGCTAGCAATGTTTGGCTATGCACAGAAGTGACTGGGAATCATATTTCCCACTAAACTCAAATGAAAGGTCATCCGGATTCACCGTCCTTTTGGCTAAGTTCTAAATTGCCTTTGGCCATTCCAACACCACGAGGGGGAGTATGGCAAGGGAAGTGAGAGTAGAAAGAAACAGCAATTGTAAGTGACTGCAACTGAAACATGCTACTTCTGCAAATTTTACAAAAACCATATGAGCACGTTGCCAGGGCTCTTTCCGGGGCTGTGAAGCTCTGGTTTCATTAGCTCCGCGGGCGCTCTGCCTGGTGCATTGACCCTTCATTCACATGCTTGTTGCCTCTTGGTCATAAGACGATGGATGCAGCTCCTGGCACAAAACATGATAAAGTCAGGAGGAAGTCAAGCGTGCAGGCCAGCCAAATCCACCCCCTGTTCAGTGCTTTTCCCAAAGCTACTCCTGGTGTCCCCCACTTACTTCTTTTTCTTTTTTTTTTTTTTTTATTGGAGCATAATTGCTTTACAATGGTGTGTTAGTTTCTGCTTTATAACAAAGTGAATCAGCTGTACATATACATACGTATATCACCATATCTCCTCCCTCTTGCGTCCCCCTCCCACCCTCCCCCCCGACTTACTTCTTACTGGTCAGAACTGGGCCACATGGCCCCTAGCTGCAAGGGAGTCTGGAAAGGTGTTTTTAAGTAGACGCATTTCTGAGCCCACAAAATCAGAGGGCTGTTGGTCGAGAAAGAGGGAATGAGTATTAGGTGGCCAGCTAGCAGTGTCTCCTTCAGCTTCCAGGTTGTTTTCCATGTGTATAGATGGACATATTGTGTGCCTGTATTTTCTTACAAAAATTCATACTGCTCTATAGCATGTCATAATTGCTTTAAGTGATTCACCAATACTCAGAAACTAGTAAATGGGAAATTTTTTACCTAAATTTACATGTTGACCATCTTTTACTACAGAATAAATTACGTTCAGCTAAATCCCATGCTGCATTTTTTTCTAATTGTGGTTAAACATGCTGTATTTTTTTAGTAGCAGAACCTTTTTTCAAACAGCATCTCTATCCGTAACACAGATGGAAGCTGAGTTCCTTTGATGAGTAGGGTGGTTGTCAGGAACCCTTTCTCTTCTCTCCCAACAACCCCTGAAGCATTTCTGTGGAAATAGCACGTTGTTGATAGATACACTTTAAGACCTTTCCAGCCCAAAAAGCTCCTTTGCAAACTGAGGTGCCCAGAGAGGGCCCTGGAGCCCTTGTGGGTCCCTCCATGGCTCCCCACATGCACAGTGGCTTGTGAGGTGAACAGGAAACAAGCCCTCACACGACCTAACACAGTCGTTCTAGGCCCTCACACCAACCCTGTTCACCAGAGACCTTTCCTCAGGCCTTCTGACGACACACCAGATGGTTCTGCCCACAGGCCTGACCCAGTTTCCTCATCCACTGGAGAGGACAAATACCACCCGCCTTAGATTGTTTCTTAGGCCTGTGAAGTTTTAGGGAGATGGTGTGGCTGACGGGGTTTTCCAAAGGCTGAAACACTCTCACATATGTGCTGTGTTCTCTCTCCTCTAGGAGGGAGTTGGGAGGGGTGAGCTGGGAGGGACAGTGGGACAGGGAGGAGGCAGGGGGCATGGGGGGCTGGCAGCCCACACACTCGCTGTCTCCCTCTCCAGCGCCTAAGACTGAGCCTTCCTATCCCAGCCCTCTGTGGAAGGACCCGGGTGTCTGACTGGCATAATGGAGGGGGCAAGAGAAGCCCCGGGTGGTCCTAAGGTACTGTTGAATATTGGCCTGAAGGAACCTGCTCTGGTGAATGGGGGTGGACATGTGAATTTGACCCTAGGTACTAGTCGGGGACAGTGGGACAGAAGGGAAGTCGGAGAGAAGGAGACAGCAGTATTGAGTGATGGCAGTTAAAATAGCCTTCTTTTGCAAATTTCACAAGAGATATTAAGAAAGGTGAAACTGCATATTAGTTCTTATTTGGGAAGCTTAATTATGTTCCGTTTCCTCCAAGAGGGTAGGGGCCTCCCCACCCCTCTCTCCTGCCTTTCTCCCCTTCACACCCCCTTCCCTCTCCCCCCACCCGCCGACCAAGCCCTCCAGCTGGTAGCTGTCCCCCACAGCACAGGTGAGGCCTAGCGATGCTCTCCCAGAGGAAGTGGGCCTTTTTTTTCTTCTTCCTACCTCAAATACTAGATAAACCCAAATAACTTTTAAGTAAAATCAGGAAATCAAAGGCGTAATTCCAATTAAAAATTTTTCTTTCACTTTTTATTTGGAGATAATTACAGATTCACAGGAAGTTGAAAAAGTAGTACAGAGAGGTCCCGTGCACCCTTCACCTGGTGTCCTCAGTGGTGGCTGTAGCATATATTGAACCAGGAGAGTGATGTTGGTACAGTCCACAGACTTCATTCAGATTTCACCAATTTTACAGTGACTTCTTTTTTAAACAGTTTTTCTTAAATATTAGCATAATATAACCGTATTACAGAAAGCTCGGAAAATAGGAAAAAAATTATTCTTGGTTCACTGTCCTCCTATGTAGCCACTATAATCATTTTAGTGTTCATTTCCTTCCAGTCTTTTTATGTACTTTTAGCATAATGGAAAGCATCATTTATGTACAGTATTATAACCTGACCTAACAATGTTTTAAATAAACATTTTTCTTCATAACCTAGTCTTTATCATTGTACATGGCCATGTAATATTTCAAATGAATATGCCATATTTTACTTAATTATTCCCCTATTACTAGACAGTTAGATTGTCCCAGTTTTACTGTGTAATGATTTTGTAACATACAGCTTTATTTAACATCTTCCATATTTTGGATTCTCTCTCTAGGGTTTAACACCCAACGATATGAACATTTTAATGACTCTTGATATAAAATGCCAAATTACTTTCCAAAAGAGCTGTCTCAAATTTCCATGCCACTGACGTTTTAAACTATTGTCAAAAGTGGATGGGGTCATTTCTTTAATTGTCACTCACTTAAAAATTGGAGAATGATACACTTTTTGTAAAGTTGTAGTTTCTAGTTACTTATAAAGTTGATCATTTTTTCTTCTCTTTACTGGTGATACTTTTTATTTTGTGACTTGGCCGTTTGAACTCTTTTCCCAGTCATCTACTGAGTGTTTTACTTACTGATTTATAAGAACTCTTTATCTAATGAAAATCTTAAGCTTTCATCTGTTACACGTGCTGCAAATATTTCTTCCCAGTTCATTGTCTACCTGTTAATTTGGTTTATCATTAAATTACTGTGTATGTGGAAATGTTGATTTTTTTATGAAAGCAAATCTGTCTGTCTTTTTTTCCCTTCTTACTTTCAAAACTCAGTCCTCTCCAGGGATGTGATAAGTTACTATATCCAATTGTTTTCTTCTCCTTTTTCTGTGGTTTGATTTTGTTTTTTTAATTTATACTGCTAAATGGTATAATATGAAAACCTAAGCAGATTTTCCCCGAAATTTTCTGTTTAGCTGAATGATCCGTGTCATGATCCTTCCTCACTTATTTGCAAATCCTCTTATTACTATAGATTATTAAATGTAGTGAGGTAGAATGTCTAGGTCAGCTCTCAACTAGATGATTTCTCCAGCCCTGTTTCCTCTTTGCTTCCACCAGATCATGACCAACACAGGGAAGGCGAGGCGGAAGGGCGCGGCCGGCGTGCAGTGGGGCGGCCCCGAGCCCCTGCGCCGGCCCATCACTCCCGGCGGCCACAGGACCGGGTACCCAGCGTAAGTCCGGGTACTAAAGGAGGTGGGGATTTACTTTCTTAAGCTTTGTTTTGATTAACTGCAGTGTAAGATGTACGTATTTTTAAAATTCAAAATAAAATTTCATATCAAAAACCATTTATCTCTTTATTATTTATCTTTGGGGGATTTTTTGAAAGGAAAGAGGTTGAGTCTCCCTCTTCCCCCCATGTCCCTCAGGGTCTCCAAGCCACTTACAGCCTTTATCCAGGAGAAGGCTGGTGTTGGCCAATGCGATTCTGAAGGAAAGGACCAAAAGGAGTAGTGGGTCTACCCAGAAAGGACTCCTGTTCTTTTCTGCAACCTCTCACCGTAGCACCAGGCCCTTTGTTGGGATGGAGTGTCACAGTTTAAGATGCCGTCAGCTTATTTCTAGATGACTCTATAAAGCACCGATATGCAATTTTTGGCTGCCAAGCCTTATTCATTCTTCATAGCCTTGCTCCTACCCTGGTTATATAAACAAAACTGGTCTGGTTATCCAGAGCCTCTGGTCTCCCTGGGGACCTGAGGACCTGACCCCTGGGGGCTCTTGGGGAACCCCAGGCCAGGCAGTCCAGCTTGGTCAGGGCAAAGCCTCTTCCGTGGTCTGGGTGGCCTCTTCTCCTGTCTGGAGAGAATGCTGGAGAGAAACAGGTGCAAATAAGGGGATTATAGAGAGCAGGGGAAAAACCTACATTTATTCATACAACAAATAGTGGCCATAAGATATTTCAAATGAATATGACATATTTTACTTAGTTATCCCCTACAGCTGGGCGGTTTGCTTATTTCCAGGTTTGCTCTATAGTAATCTCTAATGAACAACTTGGCACCGGGGATACAGCAACAAACAAAAGCTCACTGCTGTGACTCCTGTTTCCCTTAGGGACCAAATCTAATCAAATGCTGGCCAACCAGGTCCTTCTCAATTGACACCCCCCAACCTCAGCCCTTGAAGCCTCACGTTCCCCAGGACACTCTGTGCCCTCCAGCCTGCATTTTGAGTGTGCTAAATCTCTGTAACAAAGCAGCGCACATATATGCTTTTTTTTTTTTTTTTGCCTTTTGCTCCATATCCTGCCTTGCCCGTTCATGGTGCTTGCTACCTCTGCCAGGAAATGTTCCATCTTCGGGCCCCTGACAAACCCCAGCTCAGAGTTCAAGGCCGGCTGAGTCTGTCTGTCTGCCTCTCTCGGCTTTTCTGCCCCGCATGGCAGTTAGGTGTCTTCTTGTCTTTGCTGCTGGAACTGACACATTCAAGAACAGCCGTTTTGGGCTTCCGTGGTGGCACAGTGGTTGAGAGTCCACCTGCCGATGCAGGGGACACGGGTTCGTGCCCCGTTCTGGGAAGATCCCACAAAAATAAAAACGTAGAAACTAATGACATTATTATGACCAAGATGTTTGGTAAACAGTGAATTATAAGTTTCAGATCATCAGGAAAAGGCTTTTTAAACAACCCTCCGGACTTCAAAAAACCTCTTCAGGTAGTAGATCTGTCCCAATGTCATGGCAACTAGAACAAGAGCTTCAAAGAAGGACCAAAGGACCACTCTGCTGTTTGTGTTGTCATTGACTGTTGAGGACAAACAAACAAACAAAATTTAACAAAGAGGAAAAAAGAAAGAAAAAACAAAAAGAAAAAAGAACAGCCGTTTCATGGGGCACAACCCTAGACAGAGGGGGGACAAGCCTGCCGTGCTGTGTCCCCACTAAGCCCTTGCTGGAGCAGGTGGCTGCTATCTCCTCGTTGAAGGGGAGTGAGTGCTGTGCTGCTGTGCACACACTGCAGAACCTTCCTGAAGATCTGCTGTGAAGGCTGACGGCAGATGCCACCCCACATCCTACTTACCTCTCTGTGATGTGCTTGCCCAGGCCCCCTGTCTCTCGCAGGCGCCCACTGCATGTCTGCTGGGTGAATGAGTCTCCATCGACCCAGGTGCCAGCGGTAGGCACTGCGCACACCACTGATAGTGTTCCAGAGAACAACTCTTCCCCAGTCCTGTTCCAGCCTAACTCTTGTTGTCACGGCTGACATATGTCACGTCTTTTCTGATGGAATTCATCCCTTTGCTAATCTGCTTCATCCTTGGAAGAAAGCCCAGAAGATTGATACTTTAAATTGTTTGGTTGAAATGTCATGCTCCCGTGTCACCCAAAGCCAAAAGATCCAATTGTGTGTTAGAAAAATAATAGCCATGTTTCACTGTAAATTTATAAGAGCTAACAAGAGGGAGGTAAGGGCACTTCCTATTTCTTAAAGAGATTCAATATCTGCTAATATCAGTTTAACAAAAGACTTTCAGGTACTTCCACTTCCTGTATTTTATTGTGATGCTACACAGTAGTCAGCAGTCAAATATCTCCTATCTGTATTTATTGCTGTTTTTCTTTTTTTCCTCCAGGCTGGAAGACCATCCCATCTCTCCGCAGATGGCCAAATATGCCAGAAACAGCTGCCTCCCGTCTCTGCCAAATGCCCACCGTCCAGTCTGCAAGGGGGTCATGCCTGGTCATGAGCCTTGCACTTCCTCCTCATGTAAGCATACTGGCAGCATGTCGGGGGCAGCTCTGGGCCTGGGGGCAGCTCTGGGACTGAGGGCAGCACTGGGCCTGGGGGCAGCACTGGGCCTGGGGGCAGCTCTGGGACTGAGGGCAGCACTGGGCCTGGGGGCAGCACTGGGCCTGGGGGCAGCTCTGGGACTGAGGGCAGCACTGGGCCTGGGGGCAGCACTGGGCCTGGGGGCAGCTCTGGGACTGGGGGCAGCTCTGGGACTGGTGATGCCTGGAATCTTATGAATCAGCTGCGGTTACAGACCCAGAAAGGCCTTGGCCTCCCACCTGCTCCTGAGAAGCCCTCTGTTCTCAGCCACTGTCCCGTGTCGTAGAGGCCCACAGGCTTGCGACCACACAGCCAGACCTGACCGTGGGCTTTTCCTCTAGACCCCCTTCTCTCAGAGCACTGTGTCCAGTGCTCACATGTGCAAGCCATCTGAGCAACATTTCTGACTGGGGAAGCTGTGTTTAATGGGAGATTTTTAAGTAGGAATCTCAGAACGATGTAGATCTTTGACCAAAACTTTGGTGCCCCAAACTCTGGTGCTGAGGTGGTCGGCCACGTGTTAGAAGGCTGAATTGAGTCAGAAATGTTGGCTAGGAGCAAAAACTACTGTGGGATCCAAACACATTTTGAAGTCTCCAGTTGAGTTCATCAGGGACTGATGGGGGATAAATGTAGTTTTTAGATGCCAGGAAAAATATATGTGCTTTGAATTAGAAATGTACAAAGTTTTTTTTTTAATTTTCAAGAGGAAATTAAAAAGATATGAACAGATCAGATAAGACTCTAATATCCATTCAAATAGAAAAACAACAGAGGAGCAGGTCAGATTCCAGTATGAGAAACATCTGCGAGCTTTTATAATCTGCTCACAGTTGGATTCAAATGCTTCTCATCCCCAATTCAGAGCAATAGACCTGTCACAGCACCAGAAGAAAGCCGGGTTATTTGGTTACCCCAGGAGAGGATCTCTTGATTATAAGCAGTTTTAGAGGTTTTGCCAGCTTTGATCATCTGTTGTTTTACATGTGTTTTGTTAGAGCTGCAGACATTAATATGCCTTCTCTAAAAGACGACTAGCTCAATAATTTATCCAGAGATCTCTGCTGCCGGGGTGGAGGTTTTAGGCTGTCTAACAGTTTTTGCCAGTTTGACCTAATGCCACTGAGTTCAAAATGATTTCAAGTTCTATAGGCCTGGACTTCCAAAAAGTTGCATTTAGGCTAAACTTATTTAGCGGTAACATCCTCGTTTGACCCAAATGACCACCAGGGTGACCCTCTGTCTTGCACCGATTATAAGTGTGGTCCTATCTTTTGGAACGATTTCTCATGATATTATTACCTGTAGAGTGGACGCACTTGAGGCTGCCAGGGACAGAGGTGGCTGAGAGTCAGCGGGTGATGTAGACGTTCTTGTTAGTTTCAAGCACAACTGCTTTTGGCCCTGGCAGGGTCTGGTTCCTTGCAGGAAAACAATGGGCACCCATCCCTGGGGTCGTCAGCCGTTCCCAGTGCCTCTCCCTGCAGGGGCAGCAGCTGCTCACCAGCCCCTCCAGACGGGCCCAGTCACGCTGTCGGGTGCACCCATGAGCCTGCTGTGAACACTGAGGCTGTATTTTTCGGGTCCCATCTTCCACCTGCTCCTGTTCGCTCAGGTCTGGCTGGGAGCACATCTACTGGCCTCCTGCCTCGGTGGACTCCACTACACTGACCCCCAGTCCGCCCTCACTCCCCCTGCAGACACCAGGCATATTAGTCTCTCCCCCCACCCCCAGGCCGTGTCTCCACCTCAGGCCAGCACCCGTGGTTCTCCTTTACAATCCTTTTCCTTGACTAAAGTTCTCCCCTTGGAGAAGCCAAGCGTCCGGGTCATCGGCATCCCGGGGTCATTTAATGAGCGTGGATTCCGTCTCCGGTGTAGATTCTGTGCTTCCTTCCTTTTGCCCAGCTGCAGCCACCCTGGCCCTCGCCTCATCCGTGGACCAGTGCCAGCTCCCCACCCTGTCTCGCCACCGCCATCTCTTCCTCTCCTCAGCCTCCACGTGAGGTTGTGTGCAGACAGGCTTCAGCCAGTGTGCTTGGAATGCTGCGTTGAGACTGGTTCTGAGGGTGCATCTGGGACTGAGTGCCACGGCAGAGGGAAGGAGAAAACAGCGGTGGGCAGCGGGCCGTCCTGACCCTCACCGGCTCCGGTTTCACTCCTTTCCCGGCAAGAGCTGATCTGACTTCCTCTTGACCCTGCCGTCCTTCCGGTCCTGTCCCCCCAGCCCTTTCTTGCCCGTCTCTTCTGCTCACCTTGTCCCCCCGCATCCCATGCTGGCCTCGCCTGGCCACTCCCCACAGCTCCCCTCACACATGACTTGCTACTGAGTCTGGCTACTCTCATGCTGGGAATTAACACCTCGAGACGTGTGGGAACCCAGCACCACGGCCCACATGTCGGGTTTGTTCAGGACACCCCGTCACACCTGTGCATTCAGTCAACACTGAAGGCAGGACTCGTGATGAGGAACCGGTGGGACCCTCAAACGGCTTGATCAGTTGAATGCGGGCCCAGAAAGTACATTATTTTTAAGCAAAGGACTCAGCCCCGCGGAGCCAAAAGGAAATAGTTCCCAAGAAAAATAAGCCAAGAATGTGACTTAGAGTGTTGCATGATACTGGCCCGAGGCAAGTTATTCTCATTTCCCCATCAACCAAAAGTGGGGTATCAAAATCACATGCCTTGTCAGTGGGCGGTGGAGAGACAATGCCAGCCCTGTCTGAAATGGATTAACAGGTAGGAAAGCAGTGGTTGTCCCAGGAAGCCTCAGGTGCATGCACACGCTGCCCTTCCCCTCCCAGATCCCAGCTCTTTCAGTGGAGCTGGTTTTCTTGCGGGGGGTGTGCCGCAGGGGGTGCTCTGAAAGTCTGCAGTGTGGCCTAAGCAGAGGGAATAGGCAAGGACGGAGGGGTGGCTGCTGCTTGGTGACTGAACCGAGAAGACCTCAGAGGGTCTCCGGAGAGCCCAGCTTGGCGCCTCCTCCCTCCTGCCAGAGGTCTTTGCCAGCTGTCTCCCACCACCAGCGGCCGGGGAAAGCTCCTGATCCTGGAGGGCTGCCTACCCCCGGGCACCATCTTGTAACACCATTAACTCTCATGGGATTTTCTGTGTGTAGCTTAGCACTCGTGTGTGGTTCCACTCAACTATTATTGCATACACCCAAATCTGGTCCCCTGCGCTTTATTGAACAGTTAAGTCTCCTGCATAGGAACGAGTTCCGTTCTGAGATCACGTTCGTAAGTCCAATTTGTTCGTAAATCCAACGAAGCTAGCCTAGGTACCCAGCTAACTAATATGATACTAATAACTAATATAACTAATTATAACTAATATAATCAGCTACATAGTACTGTACTGTAATAGGTTTATAATACTTTTTGCACAAATAATACATAAAAAAACAAACGCACAAAATAAAGAAAACATCTTTGATCTTACAGTACAGTATCTTGAAAAGTACAGCAGTACAGTACAACAGCTGGCATCCAGGGGCCGGCATCGAGTGAACAGGCAAGAAGAGTTACTGACCGGAGGAGGGAGAGGAGGTGGGAGATGGTAGAGCTGAAGGGTCCTCAGCAATAGGAGACAGAGGGCCAGCTGCAACTTCACTCACGCCTGACGTTGATGGCACATGTTCTGGTTCCTTGCTGGATTCAATTCTGTCTACCCTCTTGAAAAAACGATCCAGTGACATCTGGGTAGTAGCTCTTTTTTCTCATCATAGATGACCCGGTAGCACTGGATTGTGTTCTGAATGGCTGCTGCCACCATTTGTAGAGGGTGCACGCACATGGCAATGTGCGCCAGAGACGGGAACTAACTCACATGATTGGACATGCAAATGCACGTTCACATCTTTGAAAGTTCACAACTCGAAGGTTTGTATGTCGGGGACTTACTGTAAGCCCATTGAGCAGAGAGCACAGACAAGCAGGCCAGTTGTCCGTTGAAGAGCAGATCAGAGAAGGCTGAAATTCTAGTTCCAGTCCCAGTTCTGGGTGGAGACTGTCCAATGTGGACTGTAAATAAAGCCACCCATTGGGTTCCATACCAGAAACAGAGTCCTTGTTTGGGTCAAAAGAGAGTTATCTGGAAGTCAAAGCTGTGCCCGCTTGCTATGGATCTGAGGAAACCTGCAGGGAAGATTTTTTTTTTAATTGAAGTGTAGTTGATTTACAGTGTTGTATTAATTTCTGCTCTACAGCAAAGTGATTTAGTTACACATATATATACATTCTTTTTTATATTCTTTTCCATTATGGTTTATCCCAGGATATTGAATATCGTTCCCTGTGCTATACAATAGGACCTTGTTTACCCATTCTATATATACTAGTTTGCACCTGCTGACCCCAAACTCCCAATCCATCCCATCCCCACCCCCCACCCCCTTGGCAACCACAAATCTGTTCTCTATGTCTGGGAGTCTGTTTCTGTTTCATAGATAAGTTCATTTGTGTCATATTTTAGATTCCACGTATAAGTGAGTATGTGTTTTTGTACCATATAAGTATGGTATTTGTCTTTCTCTTTCTAACTTACTTCACCTAGTATGATAATCTCTAGGTCCATCCATGCTGCTGCAAATGGCATTATCTCATTCTTTTTTAAGGCTGAGTTGTATTCCATGGTATATACGTACCACGTCTTCTTTATCCATTCATCTGTCAGTGGACATTTAGGTTGTTTCCGTGTCTTGGCTATTGTAAATAATGCTGCTATGAACGTAGGGGCTCGTGTATCTTTTTGAATTATAGTTTTGTCTGGATATATGCCCAGGAGTGGAATTGCTAGATCATATGGCAACTCTATTTTTAGTTTTTCTGAGGAAACTCCATTCATTTTCCATAGTGGCTGCACCAACTTACATTCCCACCAACAGTGTAGGAGGGTTGCCTTTTCTCCACACCCTCTCCAGCATTTGTTAGAGACTTTTTAATGATGCCCATCCTGACTGGTGTGAAGTGGTTTGTCACTGTGGTTTTGATTTACATTTCTCTAATAATTAGCGATGTTGAGCATCTTTTCATGTGCCTGTTGGCCATCTGTACGTCTTCTTTGGAGACATGTCTGTTTAGGTAGGGAAGATTCTTTATATTTAAGATAAAGCAGAGGCCACATTGCAAAGGTGCTAGAGAGACTTTTTTTTTTTTTAATGAAAGAGCTGAAAGGAGCTTGGATTAAGGAAGCAGTGAATCCAGACTCTGTCACAGTGTTGCTCTGATGGTGACACGGACCCCCTTTGGCTGTAGAACAAGAAGAGGAGAAGCAGGGCTGGAGAAAGAGGGGTCCACGTCATTTGAAATACAGAACAGGCCCGTCCCCAGACCCTTGGGAGGCATCCGCGGCAGCGTCATCTGGGACTTCTCCCATCACTCCCCGTGATCTTGGGGTGACCTAGGTGGCCTTGTCCTTGCTAGGTAGTATTATGGAGGTTCCTGCCCCTGGGGGAAGACAGGGATTCAGGCCTGAAGGATCCTGGGGCAGCACAGGGTGAAGAGAGCCCCACCTCTGGGGTTGCCGGATTTGGCAACTAAAAATGCAGGACACCCAGGTGAACCTGAATTTCAAATAAACACAAAGAGTTTTTCAGGGTGCCTCTGGGCCGCTGTGCATCAGCGCCAAGCAGGGGCCCAGGAGACAGTTCTGGCTTTTGTTGGCTTTTCCCTGAGAGGCACTGGGAGTGTGGGGGGCAACAGGGCCGCTGGTCTGTCCTCTGCGCTTCGTGTGTTCCATCCAGAGCATGCCTGTTGCACCCTCAGGTTATAAGTACATCAAGTGGCCATCTGGAAAGGGCCCACGCTGCACAAGTAAACAAGTCCCCATCCACAGGCGCCGGGGAGCCATGAGGGACTGGCCCGGGGTGTGTGCTTTTCTCGACTTCAGGGCGCAGCCCAGCAAAGAGCATCCTCAGAGAGCTTCCAGAGCAGAAGTCAACTGAGCTCTCTCCTCTTCCGTAGCCGCCATCGATGCCAAGTCGGGAGAGTGGTTGCCAGCAGGACGTCAGGGAGAGCCTCACCTGCCCCCAGCGGGGGGCCCGAGCCAGCCTAGGGAGGTGCCCTGTGCCCTGGACAGTGGTGAGACCACCAGGTAGGGATGGGGAGGTATCCTGGGGAGGCTCCTCTGAGGCCCAGCGTCTGACAATGGAAGCAAAGGAGAGTTTCGCTGGGCCCTGAAGTGCAGTTCTGAGATCCTTGGGGGACTGTGGTCACCGCGCTTGATAACCTCAGAGCCCAAGGGGAGGGACCTGCCTCAGGAGAGTTATCAGTTGTCAGACCGGAAGGAGAGAAAAACTTACAAACATGCCCAAGAGACTAGTTTTAAGAACTGATAGGTAAACGTGTTTGGGAGGGTTTGTGATTAGAAGTAATTTGAGGTCAGTGTCCTATCTTAGCAGTTGGCTTTGGAGGGGAGAAAGATGAACGAGATCAGTAAAATGGTTTGACTCCGATGTCAGCTTCCTGAAACCGAAACTGGGCCTCCAAGAAGAAAATAAAAGTTATTTTCTCTCCCTCTGTTACCAAACGAGCACAAACTGCCACTTGATGGGTTACTAGGGATTCTTTAGAATCTAGAAAGCACTGTTTTTCTTAATCTCTCACAGACCCCCTCTTTCAGATCGGAGGAAGCCTGCTCAGGGGGAGGGGCCTGGCTCTGGACTCAGACCCAGCCTGTCTCCCAACCGCCGCCCACCACTTCCTCCTGGTCACAGAACGCCCTGCCGGCTGAGCGTGTCACCATAGACAAGCCAAGCTCCTGCACTAAAACACTGGGCTAGAGTCATGGTGAACATGACTACGCCTTGCAGTCTCGGAAGTAGAGGGATCTTGCCACAGTGACCGTCCAGGCCTCCCGTGCCCCACCTTCCCGTAGAACAGGGAAGGACTTCCCTTGCTGTGTCCGCAGGGTCACCCTAACCTCAGTTGTGGTCACGCTCCGCAGGAGCGGCGCCTCGGGGAGCTGGGTGAGGCAGTGGGAGGGCCTGCATTCCAGGCTCCCGAGGCCTGAAGCCACCCACCGCCTGCAGAAGTGGCCGGGGAGTCAGAGATGACCTGCAGAAGCCCTAGCAGAGCCGGCACCCACTGGGGCAGGCAGCGACCCTGCACCTTTCTTTCCTGCTGTGTGGGAATGAGCCGGAAGGACTTTGGGACCTGCACTGGGGAGGGGGGCAGTCCTGGATGTCTCTACTGGGCCCAGGGCATAAAAGATGGTGAGCCTGAGGCTCACTGTGTGGTCATGTGCTCCGTGACTGTCTCCCGCTCTCCTCAAAGACAGAGGCCGTGAGCAGGGTGTTTGTCCCTGTGTTCCCACACCTGGCCCAGGACAGGAGCTCAAAATAGGCGATGGATGGATCCTCAGGAGAAAGGGAGAGAGACTGGCTCTCTGTCTGGCTTGACAACTCCTCTCTCTCTGTCTGTAGGGGGGAGGGCAGCCCCTGGCCCTGGAGGAAGATGAGTAGCTGGGTGGGCCCTCGTTTGCGGCAGAAGGAAGGCCCTGGAGCTCTGGGCGTGGGTCATTGGTAGACGGAATGATAGCCCTCGTTGCTTAGCCCCGACTTTGAGGTGGTGTAAAGATGATTGCAGCCCCGTGGCTTCCAGCAGCTGGTCTTGCTGTGCAATTGCCTTCCTGGAAAAGCCAGGAGTAAAAATGTTCGGACCTCACCATCCCACACCTCCCCACAGCCAAGTTCTCCTTTTCTTTTTTCTATCCGCTTAGCTTTGAGTAGCTGTTAACCAGGCTATGAAAATGCATTTTTTTAAAAAAAGCATTTATCCCAAGAAGAGCGAAGGCCCTCTCCCGGGAAATCTGTCCGTCCCGACCTGGAGGGGCTGACCTGCACCTTGGAACGTGCAGCGTTGCTTTCCAGCCATCACCTCCGGGAAGGTGAGGGGCCTTGCTGCCCAGACTGTCACGTGGCCTCTTGCCGACCCATCGGCCGCCAGCCATCTTCGGATTATGACTCAGCAGCATTCCAAACACAAGTAGAGATTAAATATCTCCAGAAGCCTTTTATTGCTACTCCCTTCCAACACAATGTTCCTATTGATAAGAGAGATAATATAAGCAAGCCAGTCTTCTTTAATAAGTAATCGCCTACCTTGCAGGCCACCTCCCAATTTACCAATATATTGAAGTTTACCTCTTACTAGGACCCAGCGCCGTGTGTTCCTGTAGCAGATTACGTTTTTCTAAAACATCGTGGGTGACTCTGCCATCCATGTGCTTTTTCTGCTCTGCCCTCATCCGGCCCCATCTCCTGCCAGATCGTCGCCCTTTCCTGGCTCTGGCTCCTAGCTGCCCAGACTGCTGAGCTCAACATTCTGGGGCGTTAGGGGGCTAGGGGCCACTCAGAGGCCAAGCTGACCCTTACCGACAGACACCCATGCCCGCCTCCTACAGAGTCCTTTCCAGGGGGTCCTGATGCCATCATCCCTGCAGAGTTCAGTGACAGTGGTCAGCGCCCTCAGTCCACACCGCCGCTTCCTGCAACCCCCCAGGTGGTTTGGGGAACCTCATGGGGTGGGGGGCACCTGCCAAGCCGAAGGGTGGCCCCCTGGCGTCTGCCAAAGGCCACTTTCTCCAATGCCAACGGGAGGAGCCAGCCGAGGGAGCCTCTGTCTGAGGGTGCTCTTTCCCCAGGCAGCAACGCTGCCCTGGCCAAACAAAGGTCGTGTCCCACGGCAGAGAGGAGGCTAGCTTTTAAGGTGTATTAGTCAGGATTCTCCAGAGAAATAGAACCAACAGGAAGTGTGTCTATACAGAGATTTCTTTTAAGGAATCGGCTCCCATAGTAGCAGAGGCCTGGCAAGTCCAAAATCCAAAAGTGATCAGATGAGACCCACCCACATTCTGGAAGGCAGTCTGCTTTACCCAAAGGCCACCTATGAGGAGTTCCCTGGCGGTCCAGTGGTTAGGACTCCGCATTCTCAGTGCCAAGGGCTCGGGTTCAATCCGTGGTCGGGAAACTAAGATCCCACAAGCCGCACAGCATGGCCAAAAAAAAGTCCACCTATTGAAATGTTAATCTCATCCAAAAAACACTTGCACAGAAATATCCAGACAATATTTGATCAAATACCTGGGCGCCATGGCCCAGCAATGTTGACCCATAAAATTAACCTGCACGTAAGGGTATTCATACGCATTGCCAAATTGCTCTCCAGAAAGGATGGGACCCTTTCCTGGTTGCCCTGGGTTGGGAGGTTAGAGATTCCCAGCCCTGCTGCCCAGACTTTTTTCTCCCTTCACTTCTTGCCAACTAACCTCGGCTGCCTCTGACCCTGCAACTTGACCTTGCTGCCCACTGGCTCTAAGGCCCCACGGGGTGAAGCGGGCCAGCCGTCCTGGGCCTGCACGTCTAGCCCCTCCAAATCTGGCCACCCTGTTCCATGACCGTGTGATGGGACATCCCCAGGTAACCCAGGGCTGACCCTGTGCCGTTACCATTGCTGGGAACAGCCCCAGTGCTCAGCTGATAGTTTTTACTAGTGTCTCTCAGTTATTCCTTCTTAAAGTGTAATGGGGCTACATTTAAAAATGGTCAAGATTTTTATGTTCTGTATATTTTACTGCAATAACAATGATAAAAAATATCAAAATTAGGGAGTTCCCTGGTGGTCTGGTGGTTAGGATTCCGGGCTTTCTCTGCCGTGGCCCGGGTTCAATCCCTGGTCAGGGAACTGAGATCCCACAAGCCACAGGCCAAAAAAAGGGGAAAAAAAAAATCTATATATCAAAATTAGAACAGCAAAATAGGAGAAAAACTCATCTGAACTAAATAATATTAAAGGAAAACCACCTCATTAGCCCGTATAAGAGGCTTCTTTGTATGTGCAAGAAGTGTCAGCAATGCATGCCTGCTTTCACACAGTTGCAGGCAGACTTACATGCTACTCTGTATTGCTCTGTTTTCAGCCTTATTCCATTCTCTCTCATATGCCTGAGTAGCCCTCATCTTCATTATTCTTAATGACTGTGTGCTTTATCATCTGATCTATATACCGGAATTTATGACGCCTTTGCCCTAACGTTTTGCTTTTCTTTCATTCACTGGTAATACACGTGGTGCTCAGAAACTGTGCTGGACACTGGGGCTCAAAGGTCAACTAGACCAAATTGCTGCTCTTAGGGAATTCACCTGGAGGGACAATATTATGAGTGACATAAAAATAAAATTTGCTTTTTGAAGAAAAAAAATTAAAATAAAAAAAAAGTAATAGGGCTAAATCTCCTCTATCCTGTTCAACCTGGTATGAAAGATTTCTTGTCTAAAGTATGGGTGGTTTTTATGCCAGCCTCTTTTTTTTTGCTTTATTGGAATATAGTGGATTTACAATGTTGTATTAGTTCCTGCTGTACAGCAAAGTGAATCAGTTATACATATACATATATCCACTCCTTTTTAGATTCTTTTCCCATAGAAGCCATTACAGAGTATTGAGTAGAGTCCCCTGTGCTCTACAGCGGGTCCTTATTAGTTATCTATTTTATATATAGTGGTGTATGCCGGTCTTTTTCTAAATTTGAATTTGGAGACTTTTCAGATATTTAAGTTTTATTTTTCTGATTATTAAAGTAATAGATTCTCAATGTAAAAAAAAAAAAAAAAAAAAAAAAAATAGAAATGAATCCAAAAATTATGCAGTTTCCTCCCGAGTCGCACTCCCCAGAGCCGTAACCCCCATTTAGGGGGCACTTTACCACAACTGGGCCCGGAGCACAGCCACCCTATCTTCAGAGCTGTCCTATAGAAAACATTTTACAGGTGAGGAAACTGAGGCTCCCAAAACGTCAGCAGACTTGCTCACTCTCGTCACCAGCTAGAGAGCAGCACAGCGGGACTGAGAGTCCAGGCCCTTCCAGTGAGCGCACCCTCTGGGCCCCCCACCCTCCTTCCCGGCCACTGGATCCCGCACTTCCCACAGACCTCAGTTTCAACCCCCAGCACACACCACACACGCACACGCACATGCACATGCACACACACACACTCCCCACTGCCCACTGGGAAGCCCTGCAGCCGGTCAGCATCTCCCTGTCCCGGGGTATGCAGTGGGGGGACCCCCTCACTCGCCAAGCTCACAGTACCTGCCGTGCGCCCACTGTGTGCAGCCCGCAGATGGAGACACCCACCTATTGAAGGGAAGCTGGACTATAGGAGTACCTGCTGCCTGCCGGAAGCGGAGCTGGCGCTGACATCAGCTCATTCAATGGTGACAACAACCCTGGGTGACAGCCCGGACTCCAGTCTTCAGAGTTATTGTCCGGAAAATGGGCGCATAGATAGCAAAGGCCCCAGAAGTCGAGGTGGGAAGAAGAATTGAGCATGTATATAGCTCAATGACAGCCAGAGAGCAAAGGGCTGGGCCGGGAAGTCACATCACCAACCCCAGCTGCGGTGGCTGCAGGTGCTGGAGGAAAGCCGGCTCCTGTCTCTGTGAAGCTGGTCCATTGGGATGGGGTCCTGAGGGCGTCTGGAGGATGGCTGGCTGTAAGATCCCACTGGGGTCAGACCTTGGCCTCACTAACTGCTTGTTATGTGTGTGACCTTGGAAAAGTTTACGAACTTAGAGCCTCAGTTTTAACATCTGAAAAATGGGGTAGTAATGCCTGCCTCACAGGATTGTTTGGGGGCTAAAAGTCACTTTCTCACTGAGGCCTTCTCGGGCTACCCCATCTAAAATCACTTTCCAGTTGCTATAATAAATTAGGACACATTTAGTTACCTGAACAAACACAAATTTATTATCTTACAATTCCCTAGGTTAGAAGTCCTACACAGGTCTCAGTGGGCTGGAATCAAGGTGACCACTGGACAGGTTACATTCCGGAGGTCTAGGGAAGAATCTCTTTTCTGGCTTCTAGAGGCCTCATGCCCTCCTTGGCTCGTGGCCCCTTCCACCATCCTTCAAGCCAGCAGCGTTGCGTCTCTGTGCCTTTTTTCCGTGGCCATACCTTTTCCTCTGACTCTCTTCTTCTGCCTCTCTCCCACCCTTAAGGACCCTTGTGATTACCTTGGGCCCACCCCAGTAATCTAGGATAATCTCACATCTGCAGCCTTAATTCCCTTTTGTCACGTAAGGTTCCAGGGAGTAGGACATGGACCTAACTGGGGACCATTACTCTGCCAGCCACAGCTTTCCTGGCCATTCCATCTCACAATTTAATACTCTCCCAAGTTCCCTATTCCCCTTCCTTGCTTCACCTCCTCCTTAGCATTGATTCCTCTTTCATCGTGTCCCTCCTGCCCTAAAACGTGAGCTCCGTGGGGCAGGGATTTATTCCTCTGGGTGCCCTGCTCTCCCTCAGCCCCGCCGCATGCCCAGGACAGTGCCTGCCTGGCATCTATTAGTGCTTGGAAACGGGAGTCCTTCCTCCCTCCTGCGACTTCAGATAGCACATTTTGTTCCAGGGAGTTTACACCAGGCTTCGCCTACAAGCCCCGGGCCCCCTGCAGCCCGGAGATCCTGGACCTGAACCCACCCAAGGCCAAGGCATCGGCTCTGGCCCCTCATTTCTCCTCGTGTGGCCCACAGCAGGCCAGCCGCCCCGGCCCCACGGCGTCCGCCACGAGGAGCCTGCAAAGTAAGTCAGCCTGCAGGGAAGGGCGCTGGCCTTCCACATCTGACTGGTGCCCCTTCCATGCCCACCGGACCAAGGCCCGCTTCCCCTCCCCGCAGGACCAGGGCCCTAGCTGGTCGCTTCCTCTGCCCCAGGGACCGGTTCTTCACTCATCTTTCTGTTTATGAAATTGCCCTTGGCCTCAGTGGCTCATACACAAACGGGCGGAATGACACCCTCCAGGCAGTGCCACTCGGAGACAAGATCCCCCTGTGTGGGGCTTGCAGGTCAACCCTGAAATCCGAGCCGGCCTTCTGGTGGGAAGCAGCCAACAGAAGCTCAGGGCGGCCTCGAAATCAGACAGAAGCAGGTGCTCCCTCGCAGGCTGGGCGGAGGGGTCGTCCGAGGCATCGAGGCGGGGGTGGGTCCAAGGGCCCCCCTCTGTCCCTGGGGCCCCCCTCCCGCCCTTTTACTAGCGGTAAAGACTGCTTGTCTGTCCCCTGCCCCGTCGGTTAGTTGACCACACCCCTCCACTCCCCAGCTGAGCCCGTAACTTTTTAAAGGGCTTTACTAAAAATAAGGGGAAACAAAAGAGAAACCGAACAAAAGAACGTCAAGCGGCACAAAATCAGTCACTCTCAGGATGTATGCAGGCCTGCGGCCGGCCCCTTCCCTTCCTGACGCGGCCCTGGGCGCTCTGGCCAGCCGGGGAGCCGGTGGGCTGGGAGCGTGTAAATGGGCCGAGGCTGGGAAGCCCGCGGGGCCCTCCCCCTTCTTTCAGCGCCCCTCTGCTGGGAAACACACGCGGGGCCCCAGCCCGGCCTCCCCACCGCGGTGCTTCCGCACACAGGTCCGGAGGAAATGCCGGCGAGTACCGGGAGGGCGCGGCCAGGAGAGGGGCAGGCAGGCCGCCCATCCCTGCCCGGCCTCCGGGCTGCAGCAGGCCGGGCGCCCCTGCTCTCGTAACCACGGTGGCAGCACCCGGCCGCGGACGGGCTGGCCGGCGCACGGGGTGGGTAGCAGCAGTTACGCGTCCCTCGGCCTCAACAGACACAGGCGCGCGGCCAGCGGAGCTCACTGAGTCCCCGCACCGGGCAGCCCGCTTCCTGTAAGGAACGAGCGTGGCCGCCTGACTCAGGCCCTGGCCGCAGAGCAGGTGACCTGGGAGGGAAGGTTCTCGGCGCTCTGTTTGCGCAGAGCCTGTTGAAAGGAGGGCTTGTGTGGGACAGAGGGGGCTCTGTGCTGAGACCGGCCTGGTGCTGGCAGCTTGCCCGGACTTTCCTCTCCAGGCAGCCAGTCTTCCAGGAAGTGAGGATGGGTTCTTCCCCGGTGTCACCATCCCGTTGCCCGGCGACCAGCCAACTTCCTGCCCTCGGCCAGCCAGCAGCTGCAGGTGACAGATATGAAGAGACAGTTGTCAATGAGCTGCCAGGTGGCTTCAGGGGCTGAGGAGGACAGCCCTCCAGGCATCCAGGACCAGGCCCACCGCAGCCCATGCCCCAGAGTCCTGCCACTGCCCTTCCTGCCCGCCCTCCCCCCTGGCACCCAGCTTGGGGGCAGCAGAGCCAAATCCATGAGCCCGTCCATCTTGTCCATCTCGGGAGCTTCTGCGGAGGAGCCAGAGCCAAACAGCTCGGCCGGAGATGGGACCCTGGCCTCGGCGGAAACTGGCCCCCTCACCCAGACCAAGTATGAGGAAACAGAAGGGACTGAGAATAACAGAAACTCATTCTCAAGCCTGCTGCCTGAGCACCAGACTTAGTATTTTCTCCCTCTTTTAAAATCTGGTAAGAATATGGTGTGTTCCCCTCTCTGGCTGGGAATATGGCTATTCCAAAGCAGCCCTGTGCTTCTGCACGTGTGTTTTAAGGACTCAGAGCGTTGACCAGTTTAAAGCCATTTCCCTCCCTCCATTAAGACCATAAGCACAAATAGTGCCACTGGCAGTGTGACTGTCCCCCGCTGGTGGAGGCCTGTACTCGCTCCTTGCCGAGACATCTGAGGACAGAGGAAGAAACTTCACTTCACTGCAGAGCCAGGAATGTTACTCAAGCTAGTCGCAGGGTCTGACCTCTCCTAAAACACAAATATTGAAATAAAATTATCAGTATCTAGATTGTACGTGTGTGTGTGTGTGAATAAAATCACATGCTGCCTCCCAGGCAGTCCGTCCGCCCTGGCCATGCCCATTAGTGGAGACATTACTGTGGTCCCACTGGACGTAAATAAAGGATAAGCACTGCGTTTTTCAGTGGCCTTCTGACTCCTCAGGAGAGCGGGCAGAGAGGTAAACGGGAGAATGTTGCAGCAGGCAAGAGGCCAGGTTACCCCTGCGATGACTGTAAACACGTCATGGGCCAGGACCCTGGGTTAATCTCGCAAGGTCTTGGCAGTGGTGCCAGGCTGGGCACATTAGAACTCTGTGGTCGTGTCACTGGCCCATCTTGATTCTCTGTAAATGCGTGAGCCCCTCTCTGTTCCTGGGGAAGGAGGCTGTGTGGAACACTGCCCTGCCTTCTTGGGAATGTCAGCCTCCAGGCCCTCTGAACTCCTGGCTTGACCTCTGGAGGAATAAAGAGAAAAAACACTTCTCTCAGTGTCGTTGATATGGGCAAACAAGAGAAGGAGAGACTGGGTCCCTGAAATGGAAGCACTCGGCGGTGAAACGTTGAAAAGGCAGAGAGTGTTTGCAGATGAACAGCAGAGGAGCATCATGGAAAAATCTCTCCCATTCTCTCCAGCACTGTCCACTCCCTTCAGATTCTTCAGATGCCACCAACTGGCACAGCCGTGCCCTGCCTTGGCATGGGAGAAGCCCTGTCTCCAGAATCCAGAGGGAGTGGGTGACTCATCTGTTACCACCCATAGCCTCCCTGATGCAAGGGGGACTTCTCTTTCTCCCTCAAGCCTGCGGATGAGCTCAAGTGTGATTTGTAAATGTCTGGCCATTTGGGATAAAGAAAACAATGTGAGCAAACTACACTGAGGTCACCAGCAGTGGTCTGGGCGGTTCCCTGGGGACTAAACATGGCCTCGGCCTCTGGGAGAGCCCTCTTGCAGACACACACTTCCACATCCCAAGGGTGATGGCACAAAAGAGACTTTGTAAAATACCAATGATTTATACGTAAATATTCTAGCTCTCTGCTGCCCTAATGGGAGGTGGATATGAACACTGTCTACGGGGTGTGGGGGGGGGGGGAATATATAAAACCAAAACCAGAATGTTTTCACGGGTCATCTGGAAACCGAATCATGCAGCTCTGAGGATTTGCCCATGAAACCGACTCAGGGAAGACGTGGAGAGGAGTCCATGGAACTTTGGAGAAATGGGCCTTCAGGAAGAGTCCTTCTGCCCCTGAAAGCTGATCCCAGCTCTCTGGTTACTGGCCCCTTAATTTCTCCCGAGTAGGACTTGATCTCATTTGCTTCATTCACAACAAGTGTAAAAGTCCGGCAACAGCTTAAATTATGACCCTTGGTGGGAATATAATAGGCAGGTAGAGGTTTGAGATCTAGTCAGATACCAGGGCTCACGCGGTAGGCTGGAAAGGATTTGGCCCAAATCAAAGGAGCTAAAAAAAAAAAAAAAAAAAAAAAAAAACAAAAACAAAAATAAATAAGGCTAACACAAAAAATCCATGACAAAGTATCAAACTTTTAATAAAAACAGAATTTGGGGCTTCCCTGTTGGCACAGTAGTTAAGAATCTGTCTGCCAGTTTAAGGGACAGGGATTCGAGCCCTGGTCCAGGAAGAGCCCACATGCCAGGAGCAACTAGGCCTGTGCGCCACAACTACTGAGCCTGCGCTCTAGAGCCCGCAAGCCACAACTACTGAGCCCACGTGCCATAACTACTGAAGCCTGCGTGCCTAGAGCCCGTGCACCGCAATGAAGAGAAGCCCCCGCTCACCGCAACTGGAGAAAGCCCACGCACAGCACCGAAGATCCAACACAGCCAAAAATAAATTAATTAATTAATTAATTTAAAAAAAAACAAACAGGATCTGACCGCATGCTTCTGTGGCCCTACCTTGCTTGCAGAACCTTAATCCCAGCCCCGATTCCAATAAAGCTTTATTTACAAAAATAGGCAGCCAGCCCACGAGCCATAGTTTGCTGAATTGCATTAAAATATCATGTATCTTGAATCTGGGGGCACCCCTTACATTTTGTGTGCGAGGTGAATGCCTCACTGGCCTCGCCCGGGATCTGGGGAGATCCTCCTGGGGCCTCCCAGGTTGCTAATAGTACAGCCTCGTGGCTGAGGGGCTGGGCCTGCCTGCCTGACCATCTTCAGCTCTCCAGACCCTGTGGGGAGTTCACTTTTGCACATAACAAACTACCCCCCAAACTTAATAGCATAAAACAACGATTTATTAGCTTCACAATTGTGTGGGTCAACAATGGAGGCTGGGCCCAGGTGGGCAGCTCTCTCGGGCTTGGATGGACCCAGCTGTTCAGAGGGCAGTCAAGGGCCTCACTCATGTCAGGCAGTTAGTTGGCTGCGGGCTGGGTCCTGGGTTTATCCTCCAGCAAGTTAGGCTCGTTCGCATGGTGGTCTCAGGGCAACAACTGCAGTGAGAGAGATCAAACCCACGTGCTGTTCAGGTTTCTACTTGCATCACGTTTGCTGCTCTCCCATTGGCCAACGCAGGTTACATGGCCAAGGCCAAGTCTCTGCAAGAGGGACCGACAAGGACCCAGAAACAAACCCGACAGGTCTGCGACAATCTACCCTAGATAAGGTGTTCAGAACTTACCTCACGCCTCAGAACCAAATCTTTCAGGATGGTTTTTCCACCGTGGCGTAAACTTCCCATTTTAATTCAGTTCAGCAAACGTATCCTGTGGGGCTGCTCTGCACTGGGTTGTGGAGTGTTGTGATTTTGTTAAATTAACGTTGCTTAGGTGGAGCCCCGGTGAAGGGAAAGTGCGACAGAGAAGCTTAGTACTCACAGTCCCGGGGGAGGTACACGGCACTCCTGGGGTCGGGGTCGGGGACACATGGGGAGGTCCTGGGAGGTGGGGGAGACTATATATCACTAGGCCCTTGGGGAAGTCCTATCAGGAACTTACTCTTACCTCTGAGCTGCAGGCTGTTCCTGGGCCACGCACTAGCGAGAGGGCTGGGGTCAGTTCCAAGCCTCTGCGGCCTCATTTAGCCACACAGCAGATGCTGCAGCAACATCACAGAGTAGCTTGGCTAAACTCGCAGCAGGAGACAAGGTTCCACTGGCCTGTGAGTTGCTATCCATCTTCTAGGAAGAAGTCCTGGCCTTTGCAGACAGCCACAGTTCAGGGCAGGGCACCAGCACCAGACTGAAGTGATGGGCAGATTTCTAGGAGGAGCGTGCAGAATTCGCAGAAAGTCAGGCCTAGAGAGACCTGCACAGAGTCGTCTCTTTAAGGTGTCATTTGAAGCCTGGGAATGGATGGGATCTCGGAGGAGGGAACTGGAGAAATAAGAAAACTAGGGCAGAACCAGGGGTGAGAGAAAGAAGAGTGGTTGGTGCAGGAGACAGTCTCCAGGGAGGAGCCAGGCTGGGAGCACATGCTCCAGAAGCCAGGGAGGAAAGCAGTGTGTGGAGGGTGCTCACCATGGTCAGAGCTGGAGAAGGGTTGGGCTGCCTGAGGACACCTTCCAGAGAGTGGTGCTGGGCCAGAGGTCAGCCTGGCCCCGGGAAAAGCTGAGGCAACGAGTTGGATGCTAGAGGCTTTGAGGTCAGTGGGGTCTCCTGGAGAAGCACGAGGGGCCAAAGTGATGGCGTGAGCTCTAAGAGGGGCAGCTGGAGCAAAGGCCATGGAACAGTGATCTTGAGGAGTGCTGGGTCCAGGGCCTGGGCCAGGTCCCACCTGGGCAGGAGGCAGTGGTGTCCTGTAGTCACTTTGTGCCCGCTCGCTAAATGTTCAGGATTTCTGTGAGCTGGTGTTGAACATAGCCATTTTCAAAGCTTAAATTTTATAAACTTAAAATTAAATAATTTCTATTAAAAACAAAGGTAATAAATACTCAAAACTCATCCTTTCCTAGTTTTACTGTTTATATTGTCTACATCCTGGAGGATACATACACCTGTTGTATTTGTAGGAGGGAGATACACTGTAATGCTGCCTACTATGCATCCCTTCACAAGTCTGTGTTCAGTGACATCACTTTGGTAGCTTGAAATTGGCTGTGATGGGGACACTTACACCATGGAAAGTGACAAACGCTACAAACCAGGGCTCCCCCGGCCCCCCAGCAGCAGAGCGGGTTGTTAAGGTGTGTGCAAGGTGCAGCCTGGGGCAGAAGGTTGGGTGGGTCAGGGGCAAGTTGGAAGGATCCACAAAGGGCATGGAGTAGGGGGCAAGTGGAAAAACAAAAATCAGGCAAAAGAGAAGGATTTCTGAGCTT